AATCTGTTGAAACTCTTGTTTTCCTTAGAGGGTCAAAATAGGCTAACACTGAGGATGAACTTATGACCTTTTTTATGTCTTGGAACTCTTGCTCATGATTGCTTTCCCATTTCCAGATAACTTGAGATTCTAAAAGCTTCCTCATGTGAGTAGTTCTTGCAGACAAATTAGGGATGAATTTTCCAGCGTAATTAATCACCCCAAATATCCTTTGAAGTCCAGTTTTGTCTTTTGGACTCTCTAAATTAGTGATTGTATCTATCCTACCTTCATCAAGTTGAACTCCATTTTGAGTTAGTTTCTCTCCCAAAAAGGTAATTTCTGATTCACCAATTTGACATTTTCCTTTATTTAACTTGACATTGAATTTGACCAGCCTTTCCATGACCATTTTTAAGCGCATGTCATGCTCAGTTGCATTTTCTCCCCAGATTATCAGATCATCGATATATACTCGTACACCGTCTAGACCATCAACTACCTGTTCCATTGCCTTATGGAACACCTCTGGGCTACTAGATATACCTTGTGGGAGACGTTGGTAACAGTACCTGCCCCAGGGACTATTAAAGGTTGTGAGGGGTTGACTTTCAGGGTGGAGTTTAATTTGAAAAAAAACACTTGAAGCATCCAACTTACTAAACACCTTTGCATTTTTCATCTCACTAATAATCAAATCCTTTTTTGGTATTGGGTAATGTTCCCTTTTGATTGACCTATTCAAATCTGTAGGATCTACACATAATCTTACATCACCATTTGATTTCTTTACAACTACCATGCTATTAACCCAATCAGTAGGGTCATTAATCTTTCTTATGATGCCTAATGTTTCAAGTCTTGAAAGTTCACTGTGCACTTTACCTCTCATAGGCACTGATACATGCCTTGGGGCATGAATAACTGGTTGTGCATTTTCTTCCAAAGATATCTTGTATGTGAAAGGCATAGACTCAAACTTGCTAATTGAATTGAATGCACTTGGATAATCATTTATCAATTTATCCACCCTTGTGGCAGGTGATTTGCTATTGTGATGCATGTTACTTTTTAACTTACTTACTTACTCTTTAACAGGTCTATTGTTATTGACAACCCAGACACGCTTTACAAGGCCCAATTTGTCACATGTTTTATCACAAAGCAACGAAATTCCATTTTTTACAATTACAAAGTGGACCCTGTGACACTTGCCTTTTACTTGAACCTGTAATACACACGCCCCACATGTTTCAATAGGCTGTTTGTTGTAATCATACAATTTCGTATTTCTGTTGAATATGCTAGGGGGGCATTTTAATTGTTTCAAGTCACTTTGGTTTATTATGTTTGCATTGGCCCCTGTATCTAGTCTAAATGGTATAAGAACACCATTGACCACCAAAGGAGCTACCCATTTGTCATCATTTACAACATTGATCTCATGTGATGGTTGATTGTCACTGATTTCTGAGTACTGTTCTTCAGGTTGTTCATTTACAAAATTTATGTAATACTCACAGTCACTGCTATCGGTTTCATTTTCATCATTTACAATATTCACCTGTTTTCTGCGGCCTGATTGTCGCTTTTTTCGTCCATACTCCTTGGGTCGCGCACCTTTCGTGATGTGGCACTTAGATGAGTAGTGGTTCCGCTTGCCGCATTTGTTGCACGTTTTTCCGTATGCTGGACATTTACGGATAGCATGATCATATCCACATTGTGAACAGTCTGTTATCATCCTTGGGGTAGTTGTCACGTTGTTGATGTCCGCAGACGCAGTAGTCTCAACATTTTTAAATGTCTTCATTCTTTCAACGGTTTGCTCTGCAGCTCTGCAAATTTTCTCACAGTTTGTCAATGTCAAATCATCTTGCCTTAATAGGCGTTCTCGGAGCGTGTCATCGTTGACTCCGATTACTAACTGATCACGTAAGATAGAATCTTCCAGTGTCCCATATTTGCATGTGGTGATTTTCACCTTCAAATCTGACAGGAATTCTTCAAAGGATTCTCCATTTTTCTGTAATCTAATCCGAAATACATAACGTTCATAGGTTTCATTCTGCTTTGGGATGCAGTATGCGTCAAATTGTTGAAGTACAACTTTATAATTTGTAGAGTCTTCGTCTTTTTCAAATTTGAATGTCTTAAACAGTTGACTGGCTTTGGGCCCAGCACAGGTAACGAGTAGTCCTATCTTCTGTTTGTCTGTGATTTCACCAAGGGCATCTAGATAGAACTCAAATTCACTCCTGAAATTTAACCAGTGTTTCTCCAAATTGTTGGAGAAATCCACCCTTTCTGGCTTCGGAATATTATTCATCATCATTTTTAGGCCTTTCTATGCTAATAATCCATTTTTTGTATTGTATTATTAAATATTTCACCACGCAGTACCATGTAATGATCTGGACAGTACAAGTTCTAGCTTTAGAAGACCAAGTTGTTAAAAAAAGTTGTTAAAAATCTCAACTCTCAAGAACATCTAATAAATCTTGAAACACTCCAAATGTAAATATTGCATTTATAGAATTTATAGTAAAGGAGCGGGTATTACACTCTATACACAACCTACCAATATAAATATTGACCATTTTTAAGATTCATGTTTCTGAGTATAATCTGTTTGGCAATATTGACTGATATGTCTTGAAATATGTATGGATTGCCTGATACAAAATATCTCTCTTAACCCTTAATATATCACATCCCAAAGAAGTAGTCATTATACATTACTTCTTCTAACCAAATAATGTTGGGATGTCCATCAAAGTCTGATAATCTGACATGAATTAACAAGTTCAAACTTCAATGAGGCAATATAATGAGGCAATACGTTAATAATGAGGTAATACAATGAGATAATACATTGAAACAGTTAGTTTATTGAAGTAATACACTGAGGCAGTTAGTACATTGAGACGATACAATGAAACAGAGCTATGAGACAATATATTACTCTCAGTGCTATGTAAGCAGGCCCTAATCAATTTCACCAGTCCTATATCAGTACTATATAGATTATTACTGGTGAACAACCCATCTGAGCCGAAAGTGTCTACTATGCAATGATTCATAATTGAAGGTACTCAAAGAGTACAGTGTAACACATAGAAGATTTCTACCAAGATATTCCTCTTCAACCATTGCATACTTTTAACCCCCAAACCAAAAACTGAGATACATGTCAGGCTTGTTACTCCCATTTTGCCTGGTAACAAAGTAGCGACCTGGCCAAATTTTAGGAACATTCGGGAGTTTTGTCATCTTCATGGGCGTAGCGCCCGGTACGCTGGGTACGCACAGGGGTACCAGATGGTTGCAAATTCGCTCCAAATACAACCAAATTTCAAAATTTTCATGGGGGAGAACCCCCAGACCCCCCAAATGATTGTTTTTTGATTCACTCAACTCTTGTTCCTGTGGTGGTGGCGTACTACTTAGAAAAATAGCGCTACGCCCATGATCTTGCTTTATCAAGCTTCAAACGTGTCCTCTTAAAATAGTCTCGGATCCCTATTATCTACTTCACTACAGAGGTGGGGAGCTGTGTAGTGGGAGGGTCATAAATGGTTGAACCCAGACAAAGATTGAAGCATACTTATGGAAACGACTGGTAGTTATTATTTGAAGTGTTGTAGCAAATAATTACCTTTGCAACTGTTTATTTATTCATATAGAAACCACTGTGACATTTTCTTTCCAGGTTAGGTGTTGAATAATTCATTAGCAGCTGATGCAGAAAAAGCAAACATCTCAGATCAACAACCGTTTCTATGATAACCTGTGATAAAGTGTAGCCTGCACTAGTATTACATCAGGCTCTTGTGTGCCCCTATACACTACCAAGTAAGGAAACAGATGATATGTGTGACCAGACACTTGATGCCAGGCTGAAAGGGTTGCCTTGCACTGAGTCAATGGACACAGACACATACTTTATGAGACCCAGAATTATTAAGTGCATTTAAATACAAGAATCAGGAGCATGGCCAGAGGAGAGCAAGAAATAAACACAGGAAGCTGACAAGGGGATGGGAAATTATGCAGATGGCAGTTGGGGTAGGGGGTCAAAATATGATGTGGGCAAAATAATAAATAATGAGTTCAGTGAAACTGAATATTCAATATGCATCTTACTATATGGAGTACAAAGCACTAACCTCCACCTAAGTAGACTTATACTTTCTATTTGTTTCCTTGTATTATATTTATACCTTAATATTATCAGTACAATACTGTCTACTGTATATTGAAAAAAACCTGTTCAGATCAAATCCTGGGGAGAAAGAATGTTTCATTGTGTCATTCTCAACCAGACAATATGTTAAGTGTATATATAACAGATGCAATAGTGAAAGTAGATGCTATAAGATACTACAATGGTGTTTATCCCTAGATTTACAAATATATTGCTCTCTTAGGCAATTATTGATTCGTAGCTACATATTCATTACCTACATTCATTATCTGATCAAGAGTAAGCCAGCATTTTGATTCATTAATCAATTTAATTAAAACTTGAACAAAGAAAACACACTATGATACTTAACATATTTCTGAACTATATCTTTAAAACTGATTTAAGACTGATTGGACTGATCATTTTAAACTGCTAACGGAAATTTTAATTTAACTTATATCTTGCAACAAATTCACTGATCTAAGAATGTTGACATTGAACTTGATATGAAGCTACATGGACTATTTATATGCTGAATCATTCACTATAATGTCCCATTGAATGCAAATACAGTGAGACCGTGATACAGTGAACACCTATGGAGCCACAAAAATGTGTTCACTTTATGTATGTGTTCATTACAGAGAGGAGGAGAATTTACAGGAGTCAATGTAAAATATGTCTTAAAGTGGTGTTTACTAAACACATGTGTTCACTAGAGAGAGGTGTTCATGAAGACAGGTTTTACTGTACACATATCTTCCTTATAACCAACTACTGATTTGATATATATTGACATCAATGAGTCCAAATGTATAATTATGATACTTACATCTAAAGGAGGTGGTCTATGCTTGTCTGTTTTTCCTGAAAAATATGAAAATGCTTTGAACATATCAAGATTGAGTTTTAATTAAATATGTTTCTGATATGCAAAGCTCTAATTTTAAAAATATATTCAGTGATCTCCCAAGGATTTTTTCTCAAGTGGGTGCAAAATTCAAGTGGCTGCAAATGGATTTTCAAGTGGGTGGGTACAAATGAATTTTCGGGTGGGTGCAAGGCTATTTTCAAAAATCTCTGGTGGGTGCTGCGCCCACTTGATTCAATGCTGGGGAGATCACTGCTATTATTTTAGAAATGATGATGGAAAATCTTTTATAGAACCACCTCACCTCTACATTTAAGCAGGGTGGCTATAGTGACACCAACTACATATTGTCAAAAACACTGATGCAAATTAGGTCTGTAGGTCTCTGACCAAAAAACTCAAGAATCAGTTTAGGTCAGGCAACTTTTGTTAAAATCTTGTCTGTTGAGGCTTAAGTTTCAAGGGTGCTATTTTGTTCGCTATGCATTGTGTCTTGTATCAATAGCTGTCATGTCGTCGCATGAGAATAACTTTGTACTATCTCACATTTTTACGGAACTGAGAAATCAAGGTTTGAAAGTTTAGATGTCTGTATCTTACTTAGTATTGCTATATGAAACTTGATTTTTTGTATGTCAACTGGTCTCACCCTAGAGATATCTTATATGAAATATCATACCTTGAAACAATTTACAAGATCCTTTTTTAAAACTATGGAAATGGAGTTGATACAATTTCCCACCGGAATAACAGCTTATTTCTAATTTCAAATTGTCATATCTGATATCAACTGTTTCAACCAATCAACTCTCTAAGAATTGGTCATGTGACTTGCAAAACTTGGAGTTATAACAATCTTATATTAAAACAAAGTATGCCAATATGCATGTTATTGTATTTAGAATGAAAAAATTAATAATGTTTTGCTTTGTAAAAAAATCTTCAAAAACCAAAGAATATTATTTAATAAAATAAAGAAAATTCAATTTATAAAACTTTAAAATCAATTTCTCAAATAAGTACAATTATTTCTTAATTTTGGAATCTCAGAAAACCCTTCAAAAAGAATTTATTGCCTTTGAAATTAAGGCAGAAGTACAATGCATTGAAACCAATGATGCCAATACGGTCCCCCACATATTTCCCTCGGTATAAACCCTGTAGCCTAAACCTCCCAGCACATTACAATGTAGCCCCTAAGGGCCGGTCCGCTGGTCATTATCAGGTTATTTTTGATACAGATCAGTTGATTTTTTAACTGGGTATAGGAGAATAACATTGCAACTGGTCCGTAATTCCATTTTGACCAGCAGGTTTCAGATCCTTAGGGCCTAAGACATAACCAATTTTTATTACATGCACATGGAAGAAATTTGAAAATAGAAAAATAATTTCTAGTTCATTTTAGATTAATGAAAGTGATGAAACCTCGATTTAGGTAATCACATTTTGTTCATTGGGATGCAGCTATCATTATCCATTCATTTTCTGTTGTTTGCTACTCTGTGGAGTACAATTGGGAATTGAAGCAATTGTAGAAGTGGAGACTAAGAGTGGCTCTTTGTAAAGAAATTTAACCAATTTGTTACTTTTCCAAAATAAAATGTAGATGATCTAAAAACAATGATCCCAAAAATGCAAAAGAAAGGACAAATCTGAAAAACATACTAGTAATAAAATAACTAAAAAGATCCCAGATGTTCAGTGAAAGCGCAAAGTAAATCATAGATGAAGAGAAAATAAAATAAGTGTTTTAAGGGACTATACTAACATAAAGATAACTCCTTATTGATATAGTGTATGGTCAGTAAAAGTTAAAGCTAGTTTAAATAGATTTAGCTTTTTTCCACAAACTATAAAACATCATTTTGAAAGAGATTTCAATAGTATACAGACAGTGATTGCCTTTGAGCAATGTAGTGCAAAATATGACAGTTACTATTTGTTTTGATTACTATATCTAGTATATAACCTATTATTAGGAGGCCCTCCTGAAAGGGCCTCCTATAGCTTTTGTAGGTTTTCTTTATTTATTCTTATTATTCTTATTCTATCAAAGCATTTTTCTCCTACTTCCAACTAGCTTTCAACTACTTACTATATGCTCCTACTAGGAACCTCGGCTGAAATTGGGGGGAAATTTATTTTTATCTAGGTCAAGGTCAAAGGTCAAAATCTAGGTCAAATCTAAGTTTTTTTCAAGTTTCTCAAATCCTGACACTACACTTCATTATATTTGGCTGAATTTTTGCATACAGATAGATATTAGTATTCTATTAGTCTTAGCCTTTTGCTGTCTGGATAAATTTTGCCTCGATTTTGAGATATTGAAGGTCAAAAAAGGTCAAAAAAGGTCTTTTTTCAACTTGCTTCAAATTGACCAATTTTTTTTTTAAAACTCATCTACAAATTCTCAGAATTCCAAATCTGACCTTACTTTTGACCTTTGACCTTTGTTTGACCTTCAGTGACCTCCGAAAGGTCAAAAAAGTTGATTTTTCAAATCGATTTTCTGGATTCAAATTTAGGTATATTTATTCACAAAAGACCTTCTGAGGTCTAAAAAAGTAAAATTTGCAAGGTCAAAGGTCAAGGTCATCAAACAAAATCATAAACTGTGTTTTCTAAGTTTCTCAAAATTGGAGACTATAAATCAATTTTTTTTACTGAAAGTCAGAATATATATTCCTCTAAAGGTCCTACATATATTAGCAATTGACTATTTATTAATATTTTGCTCCAGTTTTGAGATATTAGAACTCAAAAACTGAAAAAGGTCAAATTTCGAAATTTTTAAAGGTCAAATTTCAACTTGCTCTAAATTGACCAAACTCTTTTTTAAAAAGCATCTACAAGATCTCAGGAACTCAAATCTGACCTTAGTTTTGACCTATGACCTTTGGTTGACCTTCAGTGACCTTCGAAAGGTCAAAAAGTTGATTTTTCAAATTGATTTTTTGAATTCAAATTTAGGTTTATTCAATCAGAAAAGATATACTGAGGTCTAAAAAAGTAAAATTTTCAAGGTCAAAGGTCAAGGTCATCAAACAAGATCACAAACTGTGTTTTCTAAATTTCTCAAAGTTTTTGACTACAAATCAATATTTTTAATTGAAAGTCAAGATATACATTCCTCTAAGGGTTCTACACATATTAGCTATTGACTATTTTTAAAAATTTTGTCCCAGTTTTGAGATATAAGAGCTCAAAAACTTTTCAAAGTTTATAAGGTCAAATTTTAACTTTCTTCACATTCACCCAACTTTTTTTTAAAAATCATCTACAACTTCTCAGGAGTTCATTTAGTTGACCTTCAGTGACCTTCGAAAGGTCAGAAAAGTTGATTTTTCAAATTGAGTTTTTGGATTCAAATTTAGGGTTAGCCTGATCATAAAATTCCTACTGAGCTCTAAAGCAGTAAAATTTTCAAGGTCAAGGGTCACGGTTATCAAATTAGGTCAAAGGTCAAAATCTAGGTCAAATCTAAATTTTTTTCAAGTTTCTCAAGTTTGTCCTTATACTTCATTATTTCTTCCGATGAATTAAACTGAAACTACATTTTAGTATTCTCTACAAATTGTTCACAATATGTCAGCATTAAATTTTTACCATTTTTGAGATATTTTACGTCAAAAACGGTCAAAAAAGGTCATTTTTCAACTTGCTTCAATCTGACCAAATTTTTTTTTTAAAAATCATCTACAATTTTCTAGGAGTCCAAATCTGACCTCAGATTTAACCTTTGACCTTTAGTTGACCTTCAATGACCTTCGAAAGGTAAAAAAAGTTGATTTCTCAAATTGAGTCTTCGGATTCAAATTTAGGTCAGCCTAATTACAAAAGACCTACTGAGGTCTAAAAAAGTAAAACTTTTCAGGGTCAAAGGTCAAGATCATGGAATTAGGTCACAAACTGTGCTATCTAAGTTTCGCAAAGTTCGAGACTACAAACCAATATTTTTAATCCGAAGTCGAAATATACACATTCCTCTAAGGGTTCTACACATATTAGCAATTGACTATCTAATGGAATTTTGTCCCAGTTTGAGATATAAGAGTTCAAAAGCTGAAAAAAGGTCAATTTTGAAATTTTTCAAGGTCAAATTTAAACTCACTTCAAATTGACAAAATTTTTTTTGAAAATCATCTACAAGTTCTCAGGAGTTCACATCTGACCTCAGATTTGATATTTGTCCTTTAGTTGACCTTCAAATTGTCAAAAATGCCTAAGAGGGCCTCCGTGAGATTGCTTGCAATCTTCCAAAGTCTAGTTATGTACTCTATTTGAAGAAACAAATAAGTAGTCTTTCATTTTCAACATTTAATGATGACAGCTTCGTATATGCATTTCTATTGCATTTGGCCATTCAAACCCCTATAAGACCTGGTAGCAGGGAAGATAAAGGGTACTTTTGACTGCTCACATGATCTAATTAACTGCTCATTTGTACTTTTCATCTTCCCTGGTAGCAAGGATTTAGGTTTTCGAGGAAATTAGTAATTCTATTTCATATCATGTGGCCATGAATAATCCAATGAGCATCCATAATACAAAGAGTAATTGAGGGCATATAATTTGAATATGCATGGGATTACACATACTGTATTATTTTATTTTTTTGATCTACTTGTAATAGTTCTAAAACTAAAACATGAAAGGCCAGGCATGCAAACTGGCATGGTATTGTGTTACAAAACATTATTTCATTCTAGATACAATAACATGCATATTGGCATACTTCGTTTTAATATAAGATTGTTATAACTCCAAGTTTTGCAAGTCACATGACCAATTCTTAGAGAGTTGATTGGTTGAAACAGTTGATATCAGATATGACAATTTCAAATTAGAAATAAGCTGTTTGTCTGGAGATGGTACAATTTCACATTGAATTCTAGCTTAATGAGAGGGAATTGAGATGGGGCATGTATCTGAGATGAAAGCCTGTGTTTCAAATAGTAAAATTCCATGTCTATCTCAATTTTTGGGAAAATGGCAGTTAGTACAAAGTTATTCTCATGCGACGATGTATTGTTGTACAAACACAAATCATTCTTGTGTAGAAAGATAAAGTCATCAGTTATGCCAAAATCCTTTTCAACTTCATGTCTAGCCACAGAACACCTTGTATTTTGGCCATTCCTCTTCCACGGAGTTGTGACCTTAATGTTACCAATTACCGGGATTTTCGGTTCACATCTGCAAATTTGTATAATGCCCGGTCATTCTGTTAATTGTTAAGCCTTGATGATGAATTTTGCCCCTTTTCATACAAATGCACAGGGTTTATGACATGATCTATCAACATCTTACCTTCATTATTGATAATTCCTGCATTGAATAAAGACTTTTACAGTCAGATATATTTAACATTATCATTACTCAAATTGAAACATTTTGATTTTTCGACCATGCATTCCATTTGCCAGGTGGCGCCCCTAACAAAAACAACATAAAAACATTTCTGGTCGTGATAAGATGACTTTTACGATTTCCACGATTTCTGATAAGTTTAATCAATACTTTGTATCTTCACAAGTATTGGGTATTTGAATTTCAGTGCCAGCATTAGGCAGAATGTTACCGTAAGGGTATTACCAATAATACCACAGATCATTAGAGTGGTATGATAAAACTGAGCTCAATGCAAATGTGGTAATGTAACATAGGTATTAATGAATGGTTTCTATTGAAACATCATTCTTATTCTAGGTTCCAATAATTTGAACACCTGAACACCAGAATACCTGTATACCAATTATTCTGAAAAGATGATATATGATTTCAGAACATTTTTGTGTTGAGCCGAGGTATTGAAAGCAAGTGGCTCATTTCAGTATCCCCATGCCTAACCATCGCGTAAGCAGGCGTCACTGTACAGCGTCAAAAAATACAGTAGTACAGTTTTCTGTACGGTGACGAAAATTAACTGAGTTGAAGCAAAAACTATAATGAGGGTTTTAAAAAGATTAATTAGATAAAATAAATACGATTTCGGGTGTAATAAAAACAGCATTCTCTTAGGAATGGTTATAACTTTCTAATTATGATAAAAGTTTTTCGAGCACTGCTCGGATTTTTTCTGACTGGATCGGCCCACATAATCGACTCGAGAGAAAAATGGTGTTTTTTTCACTTTTCGTTTGGTTATTATTTTCCCTGTCGTCTGAGAGTATGGATTATTTTTATGAGAATATGTATTTGTTTTCTGCATATTTTAGAACAGATGAATATTCTGCAAATAATTATTCAGTGTATTTATTTAAAAAAGATCAGAACTGTACGGTGACGCATCAGCTGTACGGTGACGCTTCCTTAGATTTTATGAAGTGCTTTAAGCTTACTGTTCGAACAAGAGGTAAAGAAGTGTCAGATCTACATGTACATTATCACTGGTAAGTATCAAGCGAAGGTTACAGCCGTCACCTTCGCATTTAAGATGGCGGACAGGAAGTATTAATTTCGATATTTTTTAGTTTTCATGGAATTAACTATTTGAAAGTTGACGTAATGCTTTGGTATCATTTGAACTAAACCAGGCTTTTCTCATATGACTAACAAAGATAGCCTACACAGCCATCTTTACCCCATGCAAGATATTGCATCTTTCATCCTAAAAAGTCACACGTGCAAGATGAGATTTACTTGTGACATCCCTTGTTTTAAAACATCAATAACATAGCAACCAGAGAGTTTTTGGTTTCATGATCTTTACCGTATCATACATTTCCAGTAACCTTCCATTAAGCTGTGGAAGATATCGTTGAACTGTAGCGCCCATGCACTATATATGAACAAATGATCATACTCCAGAGTTTCCATTTCATACAATCTTAGTCTCATTTAGTTCATCAAAGCATAGCGTCACCGTACAGCTGGTGCGTCACCGTACAAATTTGATCTTTTTTAAATATACATAATGAATGGTTGTTTGCTGAATCTTCGCGCGTTCTAAAATGTGTAAGTAACAAATACATATTCTCATAAAAACAATCCATACTCTCAGACGGTAGGGAAAATAATAACCAAACAAAATGTGAAAAAACAACCTTTTTTCACTCTGGTCGATTATGTGGGCCGATTCACTCAGAAAAAATCCGAACAGTGCTCGTAAAACGTTTATCATAATCAGAAAGTTAAAACCATTTCCAAGAGAATACTGTTTTTATTTCACATGAAATCGTATTAGTTTTCATCAAATTAATTTTTTTAAACCCTTGTCATAGTTTTTGCTTCAAAGCAGTTAATTTGCGTTACCGTACAGAAAACTGTACTCCGCTATTTTTTACGCTGTACGGTGACGCCTGCTTACGCGATGGTAAGGCGTGATCCCAAGACTCTGTAGAAAGGGAATAACTAGAACAAAAGGTTGTACGTGCAAAAAATCAGCCTTGGTTTCTTAGTAAAAAATAAAAGCTAATAACTGCACTCCCTGTCATTCTTGTGTGCTACTATGTCTAGCTTATAGTGAGTTTTGGAAAATTTGAATAGTAATAGCGAAATATAATAGCATTGTATATTAATTGGAGTACAGTAGATGTACCTGACCAGCAGCCACACTACCAAAAGTCAATGGAAAATTTCATATCCGCCATTTTGTTGAATCCTTTGATTTGATCGGTTACCTTAAAAAACAATATGGCCAACAAGGAAGTATAAAAGGTGATTTATTTAATTAATCCTTTAATTAAAATCTTGAATATATCAAGCTAAAGTGTAACTGCACACAATGCTTGCATATTTTGTAATGCAACTATCGCAATCGAAAATTGACATCATCAAAACAGAAATTTACTCAAATTTGAGTGGCAATTTTCTCAAAAAGCGAAGGAAACCATAGCTTGAGATCTTTCAAAACCACATTTTAGAGTGTGTTTATTCCGATAAAAATGTAAAATTAAAGGTTCGTGAAGGTTCAAGACTCGAAATTAGCAGGTAAAGTATCCCTCCTCACAATTTTCTTGAAGAATAGACAGCCATTTAGCTGTAAAAAGATCAAAAATACTTACATCTTCAATCAATTAAACTTATCCCGCCATTGGTTTATGATGTTGTGCCTCCAAAGCAAGAAATTAAGACACAATTACAATGAATAACCCCTCCCATTTCCATGTTAAAAATGTGGGTTGACAACTTAATTGAAACAAAAGTTATTTCTTCCGGTGCACATCACATTGACCAATGGATCAATGGATTGTAATTAATGGATCAGAGCGTAATCTGGCAGAGAATCGTCAATTGAAACTTTCCACGCCAATTCTAGCTGGAATTAATTTTATTCTACGATAAATGCTACATGTGTTTGAGAAAAGATAATATGAGATGTGAGTATAAGGTGTATTTGAAATATAAGGCCGACATTTATGTTTGAAATTATCACATTTGAGATCGAAAAATGCAAATTAGTTTGAGGTTATTTTCCAGTGAATTTTGGTAGTGAGCCAGGCTGATGTGTCCTCAGTTTCAGTCTGACAATGAAGGAGTGTTTCATAACAACAGTAGTCGATGATACCTAGAATTTGACCTCTAAAGCTGAGAGTGCATGCTCTGTCAAATAAATACTTGACAATGCATAAACCAAATCTGACGTTTATGTGAAAGAAGTACTTACCAAATGATATCTTCTTGGCAGAAGTGGGTTCATTTTGAGTTTTCAAGTCAGTCGTCGCCATTTTCAGATTTTTTTGACAAATTATTAAAATTCACATCAGATTATCTGCATTATCATCCCTCGAAATTTACATAATTTCCGAGTCCAGGTAAAGATCATACAATCCACTTAGCTACGAGTATTGTTTTACCCCTACATAATGAAGAATAATCCTACAATTAAGCTGAATGTAACTTATTTAGAAAATTTCTTAGTTTTTCTGCCATTCCAATCACGCATGCGCAATGCTAAATTCGTGACGTCATTGATTTCAGTTTTGGTACGTTGGCAGCAACCATCAAGTAATAATAAGTTAGGAGACTCTCTGAAACTTTTTAGCTTTTCTATTCTTTGATCAAAGTACTTTTCACCTTCCATCTAGGTTAAAGTAATGAACTTTATGCTCATACCAGGGAACTTGGCCAAAATTAGGGGGAAAATAGTTTTTATCAAGGTCAAAACCTGGGGTCAAAATCTAGGTCCGGTCAAAGTTTTTAGGGGGCATGGGAGGGGGGACTTTAATCATCAAAGTCTTATACCCGGGGTCTTATACTAGAATTCAATATTCAGTACAAAAAAATTGACGTTTGCCCAAATTTTCAGGTCAAAAAGGTCATTTTCAACTAACTTTGACCAGTCACTGATCCATGAAATGCAAGGAGTTCATATCTGACCTTACAATCGTCCCGGGAGATCTGACCTTCCACTAGCCTTCAAAAACCTTCAAGGGTAGAATACTTAATTTTGAAATAGGTAACAAAAGACCTAATGAGGTTTGAAAAAGTCAAATGCCTAGGACATCAAACCATTGGCTTTCAAGAGGTGTAGGTCACAAATTTTCATGGAGACCGTCTTCCCGGCTACTCTGCTACTTCCAAGTAGGATGTCTCGGAAAACAAGTGTAAACTCAAACGTACTTTGGAAGACGTCTTGAACTAGTGAATTCTTACTAAATTTTTGATAAGACCTCATTATCCGTAGCGGACGAATGCGAATGGTAGTTTAGTAAATCCAAACATATATTAATTCAATCATTACAAGGAGTTTATTACTCATTTAGATACAACTGTATTAATTACATGACGTTTAATCAAATGAAAATGGAAATAACATGTAGTTCGCAAACAAAAAAGTTATTAGACAATAGGGCCGTCAGAAGGATTTGCCAAGGGAGACTTTTACGGATGGATCGTGCCGGCGTGAAGCGCGCCACACGCTTCGCGTGTGGCGCAATCTAAGGAGATTGGGGGGGGGGGGGTGTATGCCTCGAGAAATTTTTCAAATTTAGACCCTCTCTGGTGCATTCGGAACATATCTCAGCACAACACTTCCAATAAGCTAATAAAAACAAGAAAAAAATGTGTTTTTAGAAAAGTTAACTTGACTTTGACTAAAAACTTTGACTTCTACTAAAATATACATTTTGATTTTGTACATATTCTTCAAAGTATTTACATACTGTATGGGTTCCTAAGAAACTATACACGGTATAGAATTAAATATAATATATATGAGAAATGAGATCTTCTATGGTTGATGTAGACTAGGCTAGACACTGACATAGTATATCATTTCTGTCATTATTACCTACAATTTCACTTACTCTACGTCTACGGCTTTCAATTCTAGACTCGGTTTCAAATCTAAAATAATCTGGGAAAAGGTGGCCTCCAACGCTCTCCCCCTTCCTAGGCCAATGGAGAATACATATGATTTCCTGTATCTCGGTTCAATTATTAAATCTATTGATTCCAATGCCAAAAAACAACATTGGTCGTTGGTCTTTTCTTACCAAAAGAAACATTGCCAATGGTTAGTGCGTTAAGCTGAAATTACATTTGTCTTTTCAATTTTAATTTCTGATAGTAAAGGATTTAATACTCAGTGCATTGTTTGCTGAATCATACCATGAAGGTGTTGTTTCCAAACATTTGCATGTGTTTTTAGAAAAAAATTACCCAATGCAATTGCATGACCAATGCAATGTATGACTTATTCAGTCATTCTTTATTAAGATTTTTTGGGAGCCAGTTCGAATCAACTATTCAAATACTAAGTTATGGAAAACAGCGCAGACATTATATACTCAGATGGAGCGTTTTTCTGTTTTCACCTACTTCTTTATGACCAACTATATGCATGGAATAGTGGCATGTACTATTTATTTTAGTTGAGCTGCCCATTAAATAGTAGATTGAAGGCGACAGCCAAACGTTGCATTTGCGAATGCAAGCTTAGTAGAAAATCATGCTCCAGGGTTTTCCCAAAATAGATGATCCAAACACATGTTATCTGCCCATTGGACGACCGTGTTGTGGTCTTTTATGTTTGAATTTTTAAAACTTGCAATGAAAGTACTTATGAAAAGGTGGAGATGTAATTTGACGGTATTGCCCATACTTCCAAATAAGTGGTATCAATATTGCGAACTGAATTGAACACTTGTTTCTCTTAATAGATCAGTCATCAAAAAATTCAAAATTTTACACATTCTCAATTTATGATCATCTTTTGAATAGTAAGAATTTTATTTGAAAAAATATACTTTTCTCTATATTGTTTTAGAAAACACACCAGACACTTCTTTTGTTCATGGTATCAGATGTTCAGAATGAAATGAAACATTTATCCCAACCTCTTTGGAATAAAATGACAAATACACAACTAACATGTTCAGGTCTCTCGATATTGGTTCATTTAAAAAAGTATCTTGTTAATGAAATAAAAGTTTAACTTTAATTTTTATCTATTTGGGGGCTTTTGTTTTAATTTTTGAATACCTTTTCTTAAATGAACAAAACTATCCTTTGCGTAACTATAATATTGAGAGGTTTAAGAAAATGGTGTATTCTTATTTTGTTCGAACAAGGTTCGGAAAGATCTTTTATTTCATTTTCAAGAATAGTATAGTTTCCATATAGCTTTTGAAATCTAGCTAAATCTCATTTTTCGTGAGATTTTAAGAGACTTGCATATTAGACCTCTAATGACTTACATTACCTTCTTTTAAATGATATATTTGAATTCAGTGAAATGTTTTCTCCTAAAATAGCTTTGATTTACACAGTTATGTAATTTGAATAATTTTCTATGACAATTTAAAAAAAGTTGGGCCAAATGTCCATAGATGCAATGGTAAAATTCTTTAAAACCGTGGATTATTTGTATGTCAATCAACATTAGTATGTTTAATCACAACATGTTCATAAACAGGGTCATCATGTGGTATATCATTCAAGTTTTATACAGATTCAACAAACACACTTTGATAAATCATGAAATTAAGCCACTTTTCCAAGATTTTAGCATGTAAGTGAATGGAGCTCTAGCCCAAGTTAAAAGCTGAATAAAAGATGGCAGCACGAGATTTCATTGATTTTTCTGCTATTTAGAAACTATCCTATTGGTAGAAAGGAACAAAAAACAATTGCACTAAAAACAAAAAAATGTTCACAAAATCAATAATATAAAATACAGGAGGGTCTTGAAAAACTGATATGAGTTAAAAAAAATAATTTGTGAAGTTTTCTTAGTGCTTTTATGAAAAATAACATGCTCATCCAAGCTGGACAAATATTTCGATGACACCCCGTGAGTAAGGGGTTCACCAAATAAATACTTGCACTACGGTTATATTGGCCAAAAGTGAGGGTTTTATTGAACACGGTTTAGTCCATACTCAAATATCTTGCCTCCTCCAAACCCTGCATAAACATTAAATTTATTTCAAGTTCCCCCAGAATATCATCGTCGGTTCCATGATCAGTCACTACTTTCTATCGAGGGCAGGTCCGAAAATTGATAAAGCAAGATCGGCCTTCAGAACAATCATTCTTGATGCGATATTTATGAATCTGTTAGTTATCAAAAATGAGAACGAAATTGTGTTTTTAGTAAATGCATACACCTTTCACGTTTACAAAAACAATGAATATTTTGTAAATTGGTAAAAATGTTAAGAAAATATGAAATGTGGTAATGAGAAAAGGCCTATAACAGAATTTTCCAACTTTTGTTTCTCAATGCCCCTCAGCCTAGTGATCAGCAGCATTTCACGAATTTTTGTATTTTAATGCATTTTCTCAATCATTATTAGTTGTTGTTTTTTTACTTTGACATTAATGGTTATCAAATGTGATAATAATTGCAATAACACATGTCCAGTTCGAACACCATTGAGGCAGGCCAAACGTCTTCAGATTAGCAGGTGTTCGTATTTCAAGTTCTGTGTATGTGAGTTAATTGGATATAACAAAGGGGCCAAGGAAAAGTGCTCACATTGAGAGGTGTTCAGATTCGATTGTGTCCTTCGAATGTTGTCAGGTTGAACTGTATGAATGTCTCGATTGTGTCCTTCGAATGTTGTCAGGATGAGATGTAAGGATGTCTCGATTGTGTCCTTCGAATGTTGTCAGGATGAGATGTATGGATGTCTCGATTGTGTCCTTCGAATGTTGTCAGATTGATCTGTATGGATGTCTCGATTGTGTCCTTCGAATGTTGTCAGGATTAGATGTATGGATGTCTCGATTGTGTCCTTCGAATGTTGTCAGGTTGAACTGTATGAATGTCTCGATTGTGTCCTTCGAATGTTGTCAGGTTGAACTGTATGAATGTCTCGATTGTGTCCTTCGAATGTTGTCAGGATGAGATGTATGGATGTCTCGATTGTGTCCTCCGAATGTTGTCAGGTTGAACTGTATGGATGTCTCGATTGTGTCCTTCGAATGTTATCAGGATGAGATGTAAGGATGTCTCGATTGTGTCCTTCGAATGTTGTCAGGTTGAACTGTATGAATGTCTCGATTGTGTCCTTCGAATGTTGTCAGGATGAGATGTATGGATGTCTCGATTGTGTCCTCCGAATGTTGTCAGGTTGAACTGTATGGATGTCTCGATTGTGTCCTTCGAATGTTATCAGGATGAGATGTAAGGATGTCTCGATTGTGTCCTTCGAATGTTGTCAGGTTGAACTGTATGGATGTCTCGATTGTGTCCTTCGGATGTTGTCAGGATGAGATGTATGGATGTCTCGATTGTGTCCTTCGAATGTTGTCAGGATGAGATGTATGGATGTCTCGATTGTGTCCTTCGAATGTTGTCAGGATGAGATGTATGGATGTCTCGATTGTGTCCTTCGGATTTTGTCAGGATGAGATGTATGGATGTCTCGATTGTGTCCTTCGAATGTTGTCAGGTTGAACTGTATGGATGTCTCGATTGTGTCCTTCGGATGTTGTCAGGATGAGATGTATGGATGTCTCGATTGTGTCCTTCGGATGTTGTCAGGATGAGGTGTATGGATGTCTCGATTGTGTCCTTCGGATGTTGTCAGGATGAGATGTATGGATGTCTCGATTGTGTCCTTCGAATGTTGTCAGGTTGAACCGTATGAATTGTGTCCTTCGAATGTTGTCAGGATGAGATGTAGGTTACTGAACTTATGGATTTCTCGATTGTGTCGTCCTTCCCGGTGATGTTGTCAGGTTGAACTGAACTCGATTTTGTCCCTTGGTGTTGTCAGGTTGAATTGTATGAATGTTGTCAGGTTGAACTGTATGGATGTCTCGATTGTGTCCTTCGAATGTTGTCAGGATTAGATGTATGGATGTCTCGATTGTGTCCTTCGAATGTTGTCAGATTGATCTGTATGGATGTCTCGATTGTGTCCTTCGAAGAGTCAAGATGAGATATGTATGGATGTCTCGATTGTGTCCTTCCCGACCGGATGTTGTCAGGTTGAACTGAACTCGATTTTGTCCCTTGGTGTTGTCAGGTTGAATTGTATGAATATATCGATTGTGACCTTCGAATGTCAGGTTGAACAGATTTCGGGATTTCGGGAAAGTTGTAGAAATAAATTGAATCGCGATTGATAGATGGCGGTAACATGTGGCTGTTATAATACCAAAACGAGGCCGTTGAACAAGACACAAAATAACATAAAGTGAAGAAAAGAATTATCCAAGATAAAAGGTAAGTTTAACGTGTATTGCCGGATTGTGATGATAGCTCAAGTCATTGTCAACATCTTGAATCGAATTTGATTTAGCTTCATTAAATTTAGGGTCTTATTTCAAAAATGAATGTCCAAACTCTCATGTTTTGATTTTTTTTCATTTATGATCTGCCCCTTTGCTACTGCTAGGACTACAGTGCTGATATATAATAATTCTCGAAATCGTTGTTCCCTCTTCAAAAGAGAAGACGCGAAAATCTTTCCTTATAAGGGCAAAATATTTCCCATGATGCAGTTCGCGGAGGAACAAATTTATACTTCCTTATTTTCCCTCATAGGTTTAACATGGGGATTTTCACACCTATTTTTCGAACGATATATTCGTTCATATTCCCGTACGAGAGTACAGAAAAAATTATTAGAAACGATTGATCTCTCATTAATCTTAATATAACAGCTATTTTCTTCATTGTATTAATTCATAGCGTGGTGAAAAGGATGATTGAAAAGTGAGAAAATATTCCGGAAATGAAGGTCACGTGATCAGTAGACTAGTCGCCATATTGGAAAAAACAATTCCATTCGACTTTCAATACTTGAATGCCAATCTTACCGCACTACAAACTGCGACATCGATGCAACAACTGAATAAAAGTATTCATCTTCAAATTGCATTATAGAGTTACGTTGAAAACCCACAAACAACTGAGCAGTAAACCAAAGAAGACGCGTCGCTATTATCTAGGTCAATCTGTTCAGTGGTCCGAAAGCAAATCTATAGTACTCGTTTCCGAATTTTGTTGTTCATTGTACAATCTTTTATTGAGTAAACTCGGATTACTTACTAAAGCAATGACAAAGAAGAATACTTACGATGGTGTCATTGTTTTATTTAGCGTGCGGGTGTAAAAACAAAATTGAGTAATTAGTTTGATTTAGAACTTTCGTGTCACGCAAATAGCTACGCGAAATGCATAGTGGGAAAATATTGACCAATCAAATTTTGTCCTTTTTGAGTGCTTTTTCAGTGCATATTTGCGAACGTTCTGATTCAAAGAGCGAACCGCGAAAAGGAGAATTAAGGGTGCGTTTTCAAACTAAACATCGAGTGCTCCATGGGCTTTCAACTAGAGTTGAAAGCCCATGAGTGCTCCTATCAAAATGAATTTGCCTATATACCCCTGAGACTCTTATCTGATAGATAGAATGCACAAATAAAACAAAAGTTTTGCTATTATAGGTAAAAAGTTCTCTTGAAATTTCGAAGTGATTTTACCTGTTAATTCTGTCCATGTCACGCCATTTTTGCGGAAGTTACACTGAAACGCAAACTCCATGAAACGAAACGAAATCACTAGAAAAAAACATGGCACACATTGTGCGCATGTGCAGCAAAGTTTAGACCAATCAGATTATTTGATTATTTTGCGCATATGAATTAGTTGCTTCTGAGCACTTACAAGCCTACCACAATAAACAAACCTGGCAGAGACTACCCTTAGCCTACTTCATTTTGGCGAAATTTCAGCTCAAACTCGTGACAAATGCATTATGCATACGCTGGTGTGAAGCCTTGGAGACACTCATTTTGGTAAATATGATTTATGGGGTATACTTTTCTGCAGTTTGTGGGAGTTTGGGACATTAAATGTTAAAATTCAAGAAAATATGCCAATTAAACGACTGATCAATTAATATATACCAGCACTGTAGACTGCAAGATAGGGCTCGGACCAATACTCAGGAATGACAAGTCAGGTGCAAAATGTGGCCGGATTCGGTTACAGACTTCAATATCCGAAAACCGAACCCATTTCTGTTCTAAATAATCACACGATTCTATGCCTGGGTATTGCAAAAACGTCTAGAAATAAAAGAATATGAACAAAATCTCACCTAAACGCTGATAATCACTATTTTTGTGCTTTTATTTTTCGTCCCAACATATTTATGATACCCGGATGAAGGTCATAGGAATTCTGGGATACCCGGAAGTAAACAACAATGACGGGAGACGTAAGTTTTGTCATATTTTTCATTGAAAATAAGAATTTTGAAGCAGTTTGACAAGATCTTGACGTATAAGTTTATTTTCTTGGACTATCATAAGTTAAAGTTCGGTTATTTGGATTTATCTTGACCAAAATGGTTTTCGGTTGTGATTTTCACAACTGGTCCGAGCCCTACTTCAAGATGTCCCTAGTCCTACTAGGGACATCTCGCATACCATTGAATAGCTTGTCGCAGAAATTCTGCACTTATAAATGTTAAAATTATGATGTTAGTTGGAGACCTACCCTTTATTTGATCAGCCCACTTCTTTCCTGTCTCATTTATACAGTTGAAATTGTAATTCTTGAGTTCTTAATTATCATAAATCCTTTCGTTCTATAAGTATAATGTCCAAGCAATTTCAACTTAGAAATTCTGGTTCCTCTGGTCGTTATGCAAATCTATATAACACCAAGAAACAAGATTATTATAATAAGATTTCGCTAAAGCTACTAAACGTGTAGCGAGATATCATATTCTTTTCATATATTCATATATATTCAGATAATTTATATATATCCATATAATTGTCCGTTTATGTGATTAAACTAGTATTTAAATAATGATTTCGATTAGCTAAACAGGCGATTAGTTTGACACGCGCATGCGCATAAAGAGGATTTTAATTTTCAAAATTAGTTCCAAATTTTTGACAAAAATCTCCTAATTACTCATGAAATACCAAATTACTTCACTAAAAACGTAGCAGAGTGATTTCGGAGCATTCAAAGATAGGGTAGGTACGCATTTGGCATGTGTTTCTTCCACCTCAATGATTGGACTGTCATTGGCATGGGTTGTGGGGGTGGGGCTACTAAATGTTATATAGTCTATATTAGGCAGTGGGTAGTTTATAACTAGACTCAGGGTAGGGGTTCATAACCACATGTTTAAGTGAGATGCTGGTGACATCTATTATTCAGTGTATATGAAGATTAACTTCAAGTTTCATTTTGTATGCAAATGATATGTTGGATCAAAAATTGAAAAAGTTAAAGGTTTTTCAAAAAGTGGCTTATTTTGGCCTGCCCTGTTTAAATAAATATTAAAATTTAGACTCATTTTACTTAAGTGGGGGAGAAGGGTTAGGCCTCAACCTTTAATGGTCCCATATCCTCACAAAAAATCTTTTAGGGACCCATATGTCCAACGTGCAGTGATTATGAGTGATAGGTATGTTATAAAAAATAAGATGGCCATTTTGAAATTTTTAGTCAGCTATCACAAATCCTTATCAGCACATTTTCAGAGAAACTTCATGATAGTTTTCAAATTTCCAGGGGTTCTTGAAAGTTATATAAAATCCAGACTAAGACTTATTTTTGGGCATGTTGAGTAATACCATTTTAAATTGTTGAGCCATCTGTCTTGCCTTTCAGGGGATATACGAGGGTTGTCCCATAAGTCTTGAAATTTTTATTCTAATTCAAAAATATTTCAATGTATTTGGCTGAAAATTGGTATGTATCAAGATCAATCAATTATTTTCAACATGTGATAGTTTCATAACAAAATTATGAACTTGAGTAACTATTATGGTTGCTATGGTAACTAGAGGAGAAGGTGGGCGGGGCAGTAATGAAATAAAGTAAAAATGTAAAATGGAACAGTGGGAGTATTATGGATTTTAAAGGATGATATGCATCTTAAATTGTGAAGCACCTGTCAAGATTGACAAAAACACTCTTTACTTGGTAGAATCTTGGGAAATACCTCTGTGATTTCATAATAAACTAGCACAATTGCTCAATTTTGGTACAGAGACACAGCATTTTGAAAGCCAAAATGGCAGCGATATTGTCAAAAATCTTTGCGTGCAGTTGTGCAATACCAGGACTCCTTAGGCCACACACCTACACTAACAAGAACAGCGATGGAAAAAGTATATAGACGGTATACTCCGAGTGCACCTACAATATGGAGTTGGTAGAAGAAGTTAAAAACTGGAGATACCAGCCTAGGCCTAGGATGCTCCGAGAAGTGGAAGGCCAAAATCCAGTCACGAACTCTTACCACATATTGCAGAGAGTATAAGGGCTGAAAATAGAACAACTTGTAGGAAGATAGCCATACAGTGAAGACTTTGATATTAGTAAGAGTACTGCTTACAGAGTGATGAAGAAAAACCTTGAGATGTCAAAGTTAGCCCCTAGATTTGTTCCACATATTCTGACAGAGGATCGGAGCAGAAAAAAATAAAATACAACTTGGGATGTCCTTCCAAATCCTTTTTTACGTCATAGTTTGTATATTTATCCTGTTTTCTGCCCCGGGTACCATCGACATTCCATTTTAAAACATCTGTAACATTTCCAAATGATCTTATTATGCTATGAAATTTACAGAGATAGTAGAAATATATCTAAGTTATAAAATGTGAGATTTTAATCGTTCTATATCAAATATTCTATGAATTAGAATAAAAAGTTCAAGACTTATGGGACAACCCTCGTATATCCATGAATGAATTCTTATGATTCTATATTCAGTATAAACATGTAGACATGTATGTACAAGTAGCTAGCTGATAGACCAGAATATGATACTAATTAATTGTGATGAACAATTATTATTTGCATAATTAATGAGAGGAATGAGATACATGCTAGATAACAAGACTGCAATCAGTAGCAGCTCCATTGTCTGAACTATGTTTACATGAAATAACTTGATATCTTTGCTGTACATGAAATATTTATGCATCTCAGATTGTAAGTTGTGCAATGATAAGAGTGAAAAGCAGAATATTTTGTAATGAAGAATACAAGGTACAAGGCATGTGGATTCCGCATTGTTGAAAACTTCAAGTTCATGAGAAATCATTAAATAGCATTATTATTTGATAATGTTCAGGTTTATTACAATTGATGAGTACTTGGACACAATGTGGGGAAATTTTGAAAAGCGCCCCCCCCCCCCCCTCCCTTAAGAAATCCTTCGAGAAGACCTGTACATCTTCTTAGTGTTTCACAATGAAGTCATGATGAATATCATATAATCTGTTGAATAGCTGTGTATCATTATCAGTTTTTGTTAGAAAAAACATCTAGAACTAGATAAATGGTAGCAGATGCAGACATGGCAAGCAAGGTCTTTCTAAAACAATACTAGACAGTCAGCCCCTTCAACCACATTCTTGTACATATATTGTATATATTCTTTGAGATCTACTGTAAAAATCACCAGAGAAAATCACTTAGGGATTTATAGAATCAGGGATGATCAGTCAACCTAGCCCCTACTATAGTCTTCCATTGAAATCCCTATTTTGCCCCTTAACCTAGATATTCTTTCTCTAACACCATGGATCTCACTGGTTGAGGAAATACACAGTGACACTATGGGCAGTGTGTGTGTGTGTGGGGGGGGGGGTGAGGGGGAATTATTATTGAGGTTATATCACCTAAATTTATAAGGAATGGAAGAAGTGTACATGTAGTTTGGAACAATTTTCAAATTATTGAAACATCAATTTTTTTCTTTCAAAAATAAAAATAGAAAAGATAAAGAGAGATGGTATGATGGAATGGCAAAACGGGAGGTTGCCAGGCAAGTGTAGTATTTCTTTGTATACTATGTCTGGAGCTAATCAGAATCACCAGTGTTGAAATATTCAGATAATTAGGAAGTAAAGGTTTGAGTTCTTGTTGTTTGATATTCTAATAGATACCTTGGTGCACACCTGTTGAAAGGCAACCTATTTTTCTATGCCAAGTGTTGAGGCCATAAAATTAGAAACATCTAAATTTGATAATTCCATTTTTATTTCAAGTTACTATACTATTTATTTTCTAGTTATTTTAGATTGCAAAAAGACAACGCCTTTGTAGAAGGATGGTTACTGTAAGAAATCTACATCTTTCCATCTATCCTTGGATCTATATATCAGCCATAATGATTGCCTTTATCAGAGTCTGTCATTTTTGGCAGGTATTTTTCTTTGAGATTATAATTTCACAGATGGTTGATATTTGGCATGAATATAGCAATATGTTCCAAAACAGATCATGTTTTACATCTTATCAGCATTGAATTAACAGAATTTTTATCAATACTCAAGAATTTTATATTTTTGCAGTTTATCTGAATTTCCATAATTGCTATCCACACCATCCTTGCATCAAGGGTATAAATAAGCATAAATGAAGTCCTTTGAAGAAGGATGATCCACACCATCATGATATACCATGACATCTCATTTCTTCTCAGCCCTCAGGTGAAACAGAAAGATGCTATGAGTATCAGAATGGATCCACACTGGAACTATACTCTTCAATTAATTACCCAAAAGGATCTATTTTAGTACCCTGCGCGCAGAGCCTAGTTATAAACTACGAACTAGATGGAAGCTCTCTTTTAAGAAGCATATTTGATTGGATGCAAAGGGTACTGTTTCGGTATCAAAATGTCGGGACCTGGTAGTTATGATTTTTCTTTTTTCAAAAGAATATCATAAGACTTCTATACAATAACAGTGCCCCATTCTTCCTTATTGGTTGCTTTCCCATGGAATGGTGTTGTATAAAATTAATTTACACAAAATGATTTGGGAACACCTTTTGATCATTGGAATTTGCAACCTATTGGAGTTGCCATTTTCTAGTTACTATTCCGTTAATTTTCTTAGAGATTTGTACTCTTTCATAGCTCTTGTTTCAATGGTTGAAAAGATGCAGAGATTAGAGCTAGTTTTCTGAGAGTATGGATAAGTAGTTGCAGACACGAGGTTATCTCGGCAGCCAGGCCTCAGTGATAAGTGCCCGGCAACTTTACTTAACTTACTTCTAAGCATTTGTTTGTTGTGATATATGTATATATATAACTTTTATTGACATATTGTATCATAACATGATTACATTAGTCATAAACTACTCACTAAAACTACTATCTACTACTAAACTACTTACTAAGACTACATCTTTATAAAAATATACATGATTTGATATATTTTTTACAGAAAGCAT